TATGCATGAAACACTTCTATCCCACTGGTATTATTGAAATATTTAATAACTTGAAATACTTTCTCGGTGTGATCATATCAAAATACAACACGCAAGGAAAAGGAACCAAATGAAATCCATGGATATAATTTAATTTAATCCAAGCAACTTAAAAGTGATGAAAGTAAGGTTTAATTTGACGTCTTGACTTAAGATGCAGTGAACTAACTGCCTGTGTTCTGTTACGTCTCATCTTGAAATACTCTCGTTATTTTATCTCATCTTAAAAACAGCTACAAACATTTTTTTATTTTTTTTAACATTATCTCTTTCAACTATAAATTGCTGCTTCTTTAAGACTTCGCTATTAAAAGGGATTATTATAAATTAGCAATATATGTTTGATCCTAGGTTTCCCACTAGAACCAATTTGTAAGGAAGAAAGTACAAATCTCATATTTTGAATTTCTAAATCAAGTTGAAGTGAAAGAGTAAAGTTTTAGTTGTAAATAACTTTATACCAAATCTAACGTTTGAATTTTCAACAGACGAGTTTCAGTGAAAAGATAAATTTGAGCTACATGTAAACTATTAACCCATACCAAAACGAAAGGGTAAAGTTTGAGCTACATGTAAACTATTAACCCATACCAAAACGAAAGGGCAAAGTTTGAGCTACATGTAAACTATTAACCCATACCAAAACGAAAGGGTAAAGTTTGAGCTACATGTAAACTATTAACCCATACCAAAACGAAAGGGTAAAGTGTGAGCTACATGTAAACTATTAACCCATTTTGTAAGATAATATTTATAATATAGTCTTCACCATTAACTAGCATTGTAAGATAATATTTATAATATAGTCTTCACCATTAACTAGCTTTGTAAGATAATATTTATAATATAGTCTTCACCGTTAACAAGTGTTGTTAGATAATGTTTATAATATAACCATTAACCATGTGGTTTGGTGGTTAAGTACTTTAGCTGTTGATAATCATGTGATTTGGTGGTTAAGTACCTTAGCTATTGATAACCATGTGGTTTGGAAGTTAAGTACCTTAGCTATTGATAACCATGTGGCTTTGGGTTAAGTACCTTAGCTATTGATAACCACGTTATTTGGTGGTTAAGTACCTTAGCTATTGATAACCACGTGGCTTTGTGCTTAAGTACTTTAGCTATTGATAACCATGTGGTTTGGTGATTAAGTACCTTAGCTATTGATAACCATGTGGTTTGGTGATTAAGTACCTTAGCTGTTGATAACCATGTGGTCCAAGAGTTAAGTACCTTAGCTGTTGATAACCATGTGGCTTTGTGGTTAAGTACATTAGCTATTGATAACCATGTGGTTTTGTGGCTAAGTGCCTTAGCTATTGATAACCATGTGGTTTCGGAGTTACGTACCTTAGATATTGATAACCATGTGGCTTTGTGATTAAGTACCTTAGCTGTTGATAACCGTGTGGTTTGGTGACTTATAAACCTACCCAATAACATGGTGTGCTACTCGTTAAAAGTTTGAACGCCGCTATAAAAGAGAACTTTTACTGAATAGTCTGTTCCCATGGTTACCGAGATGCACGAGCCAGTGAAGTTAAGAAGTAATTACTGACGGGTATTTATTGGCTTCGACCTGTTGTTTATTTTTATGATTTTGAAACTTCTACAAGTTCCTGAAAAGATACGTTACGTCCGCCTGGTGTTGAAACACCGAATGTTATTTACCGCTGAGGAAAACTGCTGAAATGACGAGACTTTGTACGTGAAGACACTTGATGGCCTAGTTTTTCAGGAGAATGTGCGATCTTTGCAGTAAGCTCTTATCAAAGGCTGGACATTACACAAGTAAATACTTTCAAAAATAAGTGTTCTCCACGTGGCAGATCAAATATTTTTTTATTGACGCAAATTGTGTATCTCAAATTAAAGAAATATTATTGGTCAATGCGGTTGGAAAGGTTGCCTCATATCAAGGACAGCTAACACGCGCTGTGGAAAATGCGCAAATTTAATAATTGATTTGTTAAGTAGCGCCTGGAGCTGTAAATAGCACCCGTTGAAAATTTGACTTTCAAAAATTGATCACATGAGGCGCCCCGGGACACATAAACGGTTACATGAATAATGATAAGTCAACATCTCAGAATATTTACTGAACTGTTTGTATACCAGTTCTATCTAAAAGAAGATATATATTAATCACACCGAATGACGCGTTCGTTTTACCACAAGTGAAAAGCAGGTTGTTTTGAAACTTCATTACAGCTGTAGATATTTAACCTCGAACTAAGGGCTTGTTGATGATACACCCTTTTGCCCAATATCAAGACAAGATTATACAGGAAGTCGACAAAGCTGTGTTGAGTAAAAGAAGTAATCATCCCTGCTATTAGTTGCTTAGCAACAAATCTACAAGGAAAATGTTTTGATTTTTGTGTTTGTTGTTAAGCGCAAAGCTACCCAATGGGCTATCTGTGCGCTGCCCACCGTCCGTGGGTATGGAAAACTGATTTTTAGCGCTATAAGCATTCAGATTTGCCGCTGAGTGTAGTGAAAACGTCTGAGAGTATACAAAAATCTGCCATTACATCGTCTGAAAAGTTTAATAAGCGGAAGGATATTTAGAGCCATCTGCTAATAAAGACGAAAAATCGAATCATGACGACATAAAAGAAGTCGTTAACCGTCACTTGAATTACAATATCAAAGAAAATGTTCACTGTCAGTTCCCTACCTCCAATCCAATAAATCACCACGGTCTTCTTTACTGATTTATGATGGAGGAAGTTAATTCCAAGTATTTTGTTTTAATTTGAACACAAGTCCTGAAAAAATAACCTGTGTTTTTATTTATTTTTACCTAAAACTGAGAGTGGAGTCAACAGTAGCATCTCTAGGATATTTTATTTGGGGGCATAAGGGTCAGAAAAATTAACTCTTATATCAGGAGTTATAATGTAGATAATTGAGAACTCTTTGTGGACGAAATCGTGATGTTTGAAATGGGGATTTCTGCCCCACGTCACCCTGGTGTGTGACACGCAACTGGGAGTCAGTGGCCTTAAAATGTGTTTTTGAGAAAAAACTTCGTATTTATCACGGAACAATTTAACCCAGAATATCAGAAACGCATTTTTATGTTTGCAGTGACGTGTAATACGCTTCTAGGCATCTGGAAAGATCAGCGTGAAAATTCATTATCCGGTGATTGGGGTCATGTTACAGCCGGACTTGGGACTTCGGCCAAGCCACTTGGACTCGTGTGATCGTGATGTCAGCAAGTCATCTGTGACTTTTCTATGTCAAAAGCTGATTTTCATCACGTCTATACAAAGTATACCAAAAATGGCGTATTTTATTATGAAAAAAACAAACAGTAACTTGTTTCTTTATTTTTTTATAATAATTCATGATAGTAACAAAAGATACATGAAAGAGCGTGATGGAACTTTTAATGATTTATGGGTGCGTTTTGAAATGAAGCGTGATGGAGCTTTTAATGATTTATGGTGAGTTTTCAAATAGAGCGTGATAGAGCTTTAATGATTTATGGATGAGTTTTCAAATAGAGCGTGATAGAGCTTTTAATGATTTATGGGTGAGTTTTGAAATGAAGCGTGACAGAGCTTTTAATGATTTATGGGTGAGTTTTGAAATGAAGCGTGATAGAGCGTTTAATGATTTATGGGTGAGTTTGGAAATAGAGCTTTTAAAAAAATCTTGAAAGATGAAATCATAGTATCTCACTCTGTATGCGCCATTTTTTTAAATACATTATAATTGCACAGACGATTATGTTGGTTGGTTTTATTTTCAAAACAGCGCGATCGTCACTTTAAGGTTAAGGTAACACGAGAGAGAGAGAACATTTCTTACTAATTTTCTGAAAAAGTTTTAATAAGAACCGTTACCACTAACCAGCAGAAGTTTACCAGTCTGGTATCTCGAGAACCGTTAACAC